CTTCACGCTGGCGCCGGCTGGCATGGCCTGCAAAGGGAAGGCTGTGGGAAGACAGCAAGTCCACAGGGATGTTTTCCCAGGCTGGCGCTCCCGGTGGAAAGGCGTCTTTGCGTTTATTTGCGGTGTGTTTTGGTTTCAGTATTGTTTCTCTGTCACTTGCAGGAGCTTCCTTTGGTGTCTTCGCTGCTGTTGTTCAGATTTTGGGCTTCAGGAGGTAGCCTTAGCAGTGTCGGATGGTATAGAAACCATAGGTCTGGCACACTGCTGGGCCGTCCTACAGCAGCGTCGCTCTATGGGCTTGCTCCTGGCCTACAGCAAGGCTGAGGAGCCAGGGAGGGCCAAGCGAGCTGCAGGACTACTAGGGAGGAAGGAAAACAGCATTTTTCCTTTTCGGTCCTCGTTCTGAAGAGCAGTAGGACTTCATTATTATTTAATTAATGGTATTATTGCCTTCTTTAATCAACATTTGACTTCTTCCCTGGCAAATACATCATGCCCCAGGGTGATTTCAAGGTGTGATCATCTTCAAAGGCTTCAAAGCTGGCTAAGGCCGCACCATTTGTATTTTGTGGAAGTGCTCTTGGTATCTCCTCCGTGGAGCGGAGCACCGCGCCCTTGCAGCACGCCGTGTCCCTCAGATGGAGTGAGCAGCAGCCGCTTACAGGGCGCTTTAAAGACTTTCATGCTGCCATAAAGTAATAGAAATCCTTTATAAATATACATGGACTTCCACCATATTTGCCAGCTTGTCCTGTCGTTGACTGATGTTTCACTATTGATTTAACTGACTTACAGCTCAAGTTTTTATAAATGTTGTTCGTTTTTGTCTCAACTACATCTAATCTGCTCTAGGAGTCGATCTGCAGAGCATCTCTATACTGCTGTAAGGAAGTAGGATAATTTACTTCTTTATACAAGCCTGCCATCTAGGCAAATCTTTGTTATAAGTTACTATAAAAAGGTTAATGTTTGCCTTAGTCTCTCTTTCAGCCCAGTTTTACTGTTCATTTATAGATGTGTATTTATCTGAGCAGTCAGTACTTCACTATTTATAGAGAAGAAAAATAGTTCCTGTTCCCACCACGTGTCTCCTTACTATAAAAAGGTTAATGTTTGCCTTAGTCTCTCTTTCAGCCCAGTTTTACTGTTCATTTATAGATGTGTATTTATCTGAGCAGTCAGTACTTCACTATTTATAGAGAAGAAAAATAGTTCCTGTTCCCACCACGTGTCTCCTGTCCCGTTGTCCGACTCAATTCTTTCGGGGGTGCCATGTCGCCACAGGACTTGTTTTTCCAGGCCCAGGATGGTATTCCGGGCAGTGGCATGGGGCACAGGGTAGGTTTCCAGCCATCTGGTGGTGGCCTCCACCATTGTGAGCACATAGCGCTTGCCTTGGCGGGTTTGTGGCAGTGTGATGTAGTCAATCTGCCAAGCCTCCCCATATTTATATTTTAGCCATCGTCCTCCATACCACTGAGGCTTTACC